TGGTCCTTCCCTCCAAATCACCCACCCATTTAATAATATTAATAACAATAGTATAGAAAAGCAACTAAACTTTATACTATATTTTAAAAGAACCATACTTTAAGATTCATCAGTCAAAACCGCATAAGAAAGTAAAACATTTTGACAAAAATAGAAGACATTCATATTAGATTATTGAAGATTTCTTATGAAGAAAAACTGAAAGCATGAATCAAATTTGGGGCTTTGTTCACTTTCATCTGAGCTAATGCGGTTATGCTAACTTCACAACCCACTAGCAACCCCCCGCCCGTCACTGGAATATGTTTATCAATAACCCTCTTTCAAACTTGGTCTTTAAAAAAAAACCCAATTTTCCTTAACATTTCTCGAGCAATTCTGCTTTAAATTATCGCAAAATAAAATTCCAAATAATAAAGTTCCCTAATCTTCAAAATTAAACCGGAATTCATATCAAGCTCAGTTTTTTTTTTTTTTTGACATTGATAAACAGCTCAAATGAATTACACTAGCTCGACATTAAGGAAATGAAAACTAATGAAGAACCCAAAGAATCCGATCAAAACAAGCTTCTAAGTCGAAAAGTAATCCCATTGACGCCAGTCAATTGGTTGACTGAGTCCTAAAAGCTTTCAGTATACACACACGTCCTTTTACGTGAAAATGAAACGCCAGAGAATGCTATCCTATGACATACCTTAAATAATAGCCTACAACGCAAGACGATAGTGATGATTGAGTGCAAATGGAGAAGATGAAATTATTTTAGGGTTTTATGGCGAAGAACAAATTTTGATTTGTTCTCATAGTTTTGGCTCTCTGTGGGCCATTATGAATTTGAGAGCTGCTCTACTCCTCACGTGCGAGTCTATCAGGCGAAACCGCCATCTCACGTGGCGGTTCGCGAGGAAAATCGGTTCGAGTCATTATACTCTCATACCTATACGCAAAGTGTTCTGATTTATATATATATATATATATATATATATCAGATAAATAATGTATATATATATATCAGATAAATAATATTTCTCTTGTCTTTTAGTGCGCCATTAAAAGATAACACACTATTTTTGTACAAATAGAAATGTATTATTTGACACGACCATATATAATATACTATTATTTTTATTATATATATATATATATATGATATTCTCGTACCCATATTATATTATAATTTTTTATATATAAATAGTAAATTAAATATATTTTATATCATTTCAAATTTCAAAAAAAAAAATTACTTTTAGTAATACAATTTCAAACTTACATATAATGCTTACAAGTCATTTCGAGAATATAAAAAATTGATGTTAAAATTGAACCC